CCCCTTTGTGAGGTGGTGACATTCAGTGAATAGGAATCAGAATTTGCTCCCCCTCCTCCTCCATCTTTCCTTCTCTTGGCTCCACGCTCAGGGTATGTGGAAGGGTTTGTGCGGCTCCGGTGGGAGTGTGAGAGTTTCAGAGTTGGGGTGGGGTGGGGTGGGGGGGGTTGCTGCCACATGTCTCTGAGTGGCGGACTCTTTGTGCCTTGGCCAGCCTGTTTGTTTAGCCTTTCCTCAGAGAGCTGCCTCACACATCGGTGCCTCATGCAGAGGACAGGAAAAGATGAGGAAAAGATGAGCTCAAGCTTTCGAGAGGTGAGGGGAGAGAATGACAAGAAGCGCCAAAACATTCTGGTTGAGGACCATGGATGTATCATAAATGATGTTTATTACAAATTGGCTAGTGTTCATAGTTTTGGCTAAAAAGAAAAAAAAAACATCCATCCCAGTTTACAGACTAATCTCCTGGTTCATACAGGACTTATTATAATTGCTCTAACTGTGCAAAGAGTGATTATCAATATCTGAGAGGCATTTACTTCCAATTAAAGTGGTTTAGATAATCTCACTAAAATGTTCGCTTTTTTACATTCATTCTAATCAGCTGACCACGTCTTTCTTGAGGGAAACTTTGTCGTAGTGATGATGCCACGTTTCCTCAGATCTCAGCAGTTGTAGTGTAGTATAATGTTAAGGTGTCAGCAAGAAACCCAGAGTTGAGAGCCACAGCATCTGGTCGCAGACGGCTCAGAACTATTTCTAAGGGAGGAATACTAAGAAATCAAACTGTCTGTCTCTTTGGCAACACAGATAAAATATACAAGAGAGATAAAAGAGGTGATGCAATGGATACTGAGATTTTAAGGGTATCATTCCAGAAAGCTAGGAAAAATAGTGGGCTGAAAGATTTATAATGTAATATTTCAAAGTGGTAGACAGCTACATCTGGAATTGTGAGATTTTATCACAAATAACTCATGGTGCATTCTATTCCCTCAAATGTTTTTCATATATATTCTGCATTTCTGCCTTATCAATCCATGGAATATAGAGATGTAACTTACAATTAAAATGAAAGAATGTAAAAGATATGTTTGTGTTTGCATGAAGTTAAAAACTCTACTATGCTGACTTTAAACTGGCCCCACATCTGTTACCCATTGATATCAATGACTGTTGCTCATGACCTCCGGAAAGTCCATCCATTCCAAACGAACTTCTCCCACCGGCCAGTGGTGGGGACGGGCAGGCTCCTGCCTCTGGTCAGCGGTGTCGACGCAGAAGGTGAGCCGCCTCCATGTGATAAGTAGGAAGCAGGAGGGCAGAGAGGTCAGGCTTGATTATTCTACCCCACTCTCTGGGAAAACAGAATAAGAAAATATTTACACAAACAGGAAGCTTAGCATTTCCTAATGAGTGGAAACGCGTTGAGCGTGGCGGTCACTCCCTCCCCCCGGCCTATTTGTACTGCTCTCTAAGTCAGCGCACACATACACACACATACACACACACATATACACACATATACACACACATGCACATTCACTGAATGGGATAATATTCAGTATCAGAAAGCTGATATGAAATGTTTAAGAAGGATATTAGGTGGAGCTCAGCCTTCACTGACATCAAATCCCAGATAGTGGAATGTTTCTGCCCAAACTAAAACCCCATTAATGTTGTTGAGTTTAGGCTTCCCTCCAGCCATGTTAGATCAACCATAATAAGTTGCGAGTTTATGGACCTTTGCTCCCTAAATGTCTACCATGTTGCTAATTGCGTACATCTGTGGCTGGTGTTTTGATGTTTTGTCTCAACGTGCAGCTGTCCATTCTGTTTCCAACAGCCTCTGGTTAAAAGTGGCATGGCCCTCCGTTATCTGTGTCCAGAGCCTTTAATAGCAGCCATGCATGTGGTTTGCGATTCACCAGGAGGGCTTTGCTTTTTTCCCTAAGTTCAACTTAGAGGCCAGCGCATGTACAAAAAAATACACATGGCCATCAATGAAACAAACGTGCATTTTATTCTCTAGCCCCACAGACCAACAAAATCAAAACATAACCAAATATATATTTACACACTCATTTTCTCTTATCATCTATTGTGATCATGTCGAACTGGAACCTACTACACTGAGCAAAACCTCTCATTGTTATCCATTGTTGAGTCCTAAAAACCCATAACTACCAATAAGGTGAGATTACAGTATTTCAACCCAGTTGCTAATACAAACCAATTTAAGTATAGTTACGAAAGTTAGTTAGACATTAGAGACTGTTTCATCACATTCTCAGATGCTTTTAAACTTGTTTGACAGAAATATGATTTTAAGGACTTTACAAACATTTTGTACCTTTGTCACACGCTTCAGATCTCTGGATGAAGACACAGTCTTTCTAATGGTGCTGCTGCCATTTATTAACATGCGAAATGTCACTGCTATTAAGTTAAAAGGTTAACAGGACTCCCACCAACCACACACACACACACACACACACTCACACACCACTGTGTAAACCATCAATTATCATTCCTCTCAGCTAAACCCTGCTAAGTTGTTCTTACTTTGATTCGGTGGCACTGTGTATGCTTCTTCTGTTTGGTGCTTATTTGTCCACATATTAACTTCCTGTGCACCATTCCATCTTGTTGTTGTATGTTTTGTTATACACCATTTTGATTATGATTTGGCACATTGACACTGTGTGTGTGGAAAACAGATTTTAAGTCTTAAAGGAAATGGATTTAAACAGTTTATTTAACTGTGCTCTCATGAAAGTTTTGTGACAAGGTCTTGACTTTGCTTCCATCAGATAGCAGCTGTCCATACTACTGTATGGTGTCTCTCAGTGCCATCAGAGGAGGGATCAGCACAAATGTGTGCTATGTGTACGCCAGTGAAACCCGATCTTGAGTAATTGTCAGGATAAGGCAAGGGATTGACCTCTGCCATGAACCATATTTTCTGAAACAACACACACTTGAGCTAGCTTTGAAACAGCCTCTGCTCCAGGACTGGAATGGACCGTGAGGAAGCTAGTCATCAACTTTTTAGTGTAACTAAACAAAGCCTGTGGTAATTTCATTCGCTCACTCTTACATTCTTAGTGAGCAGATAACTGGTGCCCTCTGCTCTGCCAGACACCGTCCCTCTGCTGGCCATGACATCACATGCCAACAATGTGAGACATGAGTTCATCTGGACGGGACCGGGATGTTCCCCACTCGCTCATAAAGCAGGGCTTGTTTCGTATTTTAAGCTCTGTTTTTCATTCACCTCTAATAGAATCAACTCTCCCCTTTCTATTCATTTATTAAAGTGCTTCACATATCAACTCAAAGTGTTGTGCTGTCTTTAGACTGCTGGACCTCAAAGCCAGTGTGGTCATTGTTATTGTAAGCAAGCGTCCAAGACCATTATGTGTATTCATGACTGATTTGTGGAAAATGTTACATATTCATGTGGTATGTCATAACTGATTTTTTTTTTTTTTTATTATTCACAACTCTTGTCGCTCAGTTCAAATAACCCAACACACAACATCTCTCCTCCCAATGTCTTTACATCCCCCTATCCATCTAGACATGGTGTGTTTGTGTCTTTGGTGTTGTGACAGCTCGGATCCTGCAGCATTCAGCTCACATTCCTCTCATCCCTGATCCCCCAGTGGTCGACCCCACCTCTCCCAATCACTGCCCCAGTGTGAGGGAATCAGACAGATGCAGGATCTGGCAGATGGTAGGCAAGTCCGTGGTCAAATGACATCCACGTCATGCATACTGTACAGACTCCCAACAATTAGCACTTAACGGCAGCCATGAATGAATTGATTCTCATCAGGAATTCTGTCTGCTCGGGCCAGAGAAGTCAGGAATCTGGTTCAGAAAACTGTTGCCTTCAGTGTGGAGCTGCAGGGTAATTGAATTTTGGATCAAAGACATTCATGTCTTTCAAAAAGGTCTAGAGGGCTGCTCAGTTTTTAGTAATAACAGAAACGCTTCCGGCTTTGACCTCCTTTGCCCCCTTCCAACTCAACCCCCTACCCCCCTCCTTCTGCCCTCAACCTGAAATCCCTGCTCAAGTCGTCGCGGCTGCTTGGTCTGATGGCGAGCAACGGAATGAAAAATTGTTGTGGGAAAAGAAAAAAATCTGGGACTTCTTAACATGTAACTTCATTCCCCTTGCACATTAGAAGAGCACACTTCTTACAATGATAGATTAATGGGGAAAAAAGCATTTTATTTTTACAACATTGGTTAAAAGGGCTGTAACAGACAACACAAGGCTTCGAAACAAGCTGAATAATGAAAAAATGTCTCATCAGATATCCCATATTAGGCTACATTGTTAAGTACAGATTAGATGGTTGATGAAATTAATCAGTAACTAAATTTAAGTTACTCTAAAAACACAAAACCTTTGCTATATATACCTGGATCTCATTCATAAGACACAATCATGAGATTCTTCAGACAAGTTGTGGCTATTGAGAATCAGTTTGAGGAGCCTCTCCTCTTATGAAGCTGATTGAAGATGAAAAGGTCTGGGTTCACTGCACAGAATTCAGCTGAATATATATTTATGGTGTGATTGTATAATATGTTGGATGGATGCTGTGAGACGCTCATGTTAATGCCTGTAATAACTGGTAAAAGTGTGCCCCCTTGTGTTTCAAATATTCTTAAAATTTAAAAGGAAATTGTACTAGGTTGTATATGAAATGAAAAATTCAAATAAAATGAAGATTTTGAGTTGAGTTGTGATACATAAAGAAAATGCTGCTACTTTTGTCAATAAAGAATACTTTATTTTTACAGTTACATAAACATATTTAATGTATTCCATTTGTTCAGAATTTTCTTTTGTTAAATCACATGAAAAATTTAAATAAACCGTTTATTCGTGTAATTTTAATACCATTTGCCAGTCATTTTGAAAGGGAAAAATTTTAAATTTATTGGGGAAAAACTCAAAGAAAGCAAAAAAAACAAACATATTTTACAGTGTGTTTAAATCGGCCAATTGTTTGCAGTATTTACTTTTTTTTCTAATAAATTCTTATGCAGCATTTCATTCTTGACTCTAAAATATAAAATATCGCTGACTATAGTGCATCAACAGTCAATTGTTTCTTCTAATAGCCTGCTGTCCATAAATTACAAAATGATACTAATAAAAAGAATAAAAGAACTTCAAACTTATTTAAAGCCTTTTCATTGCTATTAACACTAGAGTCTATCAGTGTTGGGGTGTAACAAAGCTGCATGGCAACTAAATTATTTACAAAATTGGCTTGATTATTAGCTCCAGTCTGTCATAAAATAGTCTTTTGACCAATAAGATATTGAAAAAACATGGACATAATCCCCCGTGGCCGTATTACTGTAACATGTTCTTTATGTAAATAAATGAGTTGACTTTATGAACTATTCATAAAGTCAGTCTAACATTTGATCGTGTGGTCAGTTATAGTTGATGAATGTATGTAAACATAGAACAGTGGTTACATAACCTTAGAAAATTTGAAATTTACATGTCATAGGTGCAACTCCTGTACTTCAACACTACACCCCTGTGCATATGCCGAGTACATTTTGATAAAAATCACTTCCTCCTTCCAGATTTACTTAAGCGTCCAATAGTGGAGGAGAACTGTAAGGCCGACCTCTCACACAGTGAGAGAGGAGTGTCTGTTTCTGTGTCTTCTTCCACTGACGAAGCAGAGGTTGAGTTACAATGTTCAAGTGATATATCACTTGTGCGTCTATTACGGAGATGCGGGGAAGTCTGTGGAGAGGCTGAGCATGAATTAGACCCATTAGCATGTCCTTCCTTATTCTGCTTTCTAAGTCCCTCCAGGTGGGCCTGGAACGTAGAGGTCTGTTGTTCCAGGGAGAGGAAACCCTCCTGCACCTTGTCAAACTGCGAGGAGAGACAAGTCTTTAGTCCTGCTGTGTTTCTAAACCTATGAACAACATTCGACTGTTTGTCTAAGGGGCAGAATTCAGTGTACCTGCTCAATGTTGGACTGAAGCAACAGCTCTGGCCAGACTGACTCAATGCTGCTGCTCACACTGTTGCTTATGTGAGTGTGACTCCAGGTTAACTCCTGTGAAACAAGGCAAAGGAGATTCCTGAGTGAAGACAGCGGGGAATATCAGAGGTGGATTTTTATTACATGAGGAAAACTTTACCTGGAGTAGTTGTGTGCTGTTCTTCAGATAAGTCTGGCAGCACTGAAGTCTGTTCCTATAGTGACCCAGGACTGCAAACAAGTTCTTTGCCAAACACATGAGAGTGTTACAATTAACACCCAATGGCAGTGACAAGGCAAATGTTAATGTAAATCACCGAGATTGATGGTTGTTAAAAGAAACAAACTCAGGAGAAAACTACAAAACTTAACTTCGGAAAACAAGTATAGAATATAAATGTAATATAAAAACAAAACCAACATTATAATACCGTTGCCCGAGAAATGCTGACAGACCTTCACACCTGCTTACCTCTGCGTCTGTGCAGGCTGCAGCCAGGTCTCCGTGGCCTTGACTCCCCTCTTTGGTTAGCGTGACCCCGGTGTGGAGCTCCTCCAGCTGAGCCCAGAGGCCATCTAGGCCCTCCAGCATGTCCTTCACACTGGCCTCGAAATCCCCCTGCACCTGGACAAGAGCACGCAGCGACCTCATCCTATCAGAGGAGTGTATGATGTTAATCCAACAGAACTAAACAAAAAAAAAAGCAGATGGCATGTACACTAGATAATGAACCTCACCTCTGCTGTAGGAATGTGCAGATGAGCTTCACTTTCTCTATCAGTGTGGAGTCTTGGTCCACCTCCTCCAGAGTCACCTCTGATCCAGTATCAGCCTCCTCAAGTGTGAGAGACACTGACTACAATTAAAAAAAAAAAAAAGAAGAAAGAAATGACTGGGGGCTGGGTTTAGTGTTGTGGGTTTGTTTGGTTTAGCAAAGTCCTTTAAACTATTTCTGCAAAATGTATGCATCAAAATTAAGACAGTGCCGGAATCTACTTGTTGCATTTTATATCCATTCTACACTGACACAACTAAAAGACATATTTTCATACAGATTAAAATGTCAAAACACAAAAACAATATTGATTCTGCAGATGACATTTAAAAATCCATTAAAATAAATATTTTTGGAACAAAAAAAAAGGAAACCAAAACATGAAATAATAAACCCCGAGACAGGAGAGTTATAACAACACCAGGATTAGGAGGAGGAATATGATTTAAACCAGACAAAAGGTCTGTAGCTAGTGGCATTTTGGGGCTGTAACCGTCATACCCACTTGCCACTTTTTTTTCCTCTTTTCTCCCTCTATTTCCCTCTCATTAAGTCAAAACAATAAGTCAAAATATGAATCTTTAACAAAAGGCTGTCAGATGTCATGTTATGTAGTGTTATTTTTTGTGTCTTTGACTTGCTTCACCAAATTAATTTATTTTTAAAAATCTTTGCAAATCAGTGTCAAAGTTAAAGTTTGGCCTGAGGCTGACACCAGGAGATGGTGCCGTATGCTCAGTTCAGCATGTCAGCACATTTGTAAGCATTAAGTCACACCTAATTATTATCATTTGTCATTATTATTGAGATATAGTGTCATGAAATACAGTGTTGTACAACTGGTGGTGCTAGAATTAAGTCAAAAAAGAAAGAGGATTCATCCTCAGGGCATGTCAAGGCAAAATATTTCACTATGGAACAAAGTTTTGGACAGACCGACTGACATTGAAATCACAGAGCCTCTTTGCTAGTGTGGCTCACAGGAAAGTCAGAGGAAGACAAAACATTAAAAACTGCTCTCCTCTGGCAGTCTGGTTAATTCAGAGCGCAGATAACAGCAGCTCAGTGATGGAGTGTATTGCCCAGGGCTAGAATATCTGTGTATTCCTCAGTGCCATGTCTGATCTCTGTAATATTACCAACAGACTTCACACTGATCTACATGCAAAGAGCAACTGATAACACAGGAGATGACAAGGATTGCTGGAGGCTGCTGTGCGTAAGAAAGAAAGCATTTTGTTCTCCTGAGGTGGTTTCTTCCCCCTTACCTCCAGCCTGGAGAGGAGAGCCTGAATGTGGGGCACACTGGGGTCTGGAAGGGGCTCCTGGAGCACACACAGCAGCAGGCTGTTGGCCAGGGCAAGGGCCAGAGGAAGCTGGAGGGTCAGGCTCCTCGACTGGGACACCCTGGAGAATTAAGGAGATCACAGTGACCATGTGAGGTTTTTTGATTTGTCACCTTTTTTGTATGACCATATTTCTGTCATCTTCAAAAGTCTATAAATATACTTTTGGGCCAATAAATGGTCAAATAAAGAATCTAACACACCCCTCACAACTAAAGATATACTGGTATTTTAAAATAAAAACATTTGAGAAAACAGGTGTAATGATTGAGACACTTGTGGTTCCTTTGGGGGCATCTTTTTCCTCAAAATAGGGATGTTGCAGATTTCAAAATGCTCATCTGTAGAAGCTGTTTAATCCTATGAAATTTGGGGCAAATTGTGACTTTTTTGACTCCAGTCAGAAAAAAAAGCCACATTTTTAAATCTAATAAAGGTGTAACTATGAAAATAATGATGTCTCACCATGATACCTGGCTATTCCTGTTCTCAGTCACAACCTCCTTCTGTATCGTCTGTGGAGGCTCCACCTTGAATTGAAGCAAAGCCAGTGAATAAACACAATACGATCAAATGCACCAACAAGGTCAAGTGAGATCTGGTTCATGCTGCTGCACTCACCTGTTTCTGTCCTGGCCGCAGGCAGTACTTCAGGGCATAAACACAGACTCCCAGAACCATCCACAGTGAACACACCAACAGGAGCCTCCAGCACACATCTATCAGTAACACAGAGGGGCGCAGCGGCGCCTCCACCTGGTGGAGTAACCACACTACACCTACTGGAGCAAAACTGCACCAACCTTTCCAGGGTCGCAGTGTCCGCAGGGCCTGGGACCAAAATGTGAGATGTGGCTGACCATCAGCTGGCATTTGATTTGAACTGCAAGAGTAATGAGGAAGAGATAGAGACAGCCAACTGTTAAAAAGCAACAGAGAGCGCGAGGACAGGTTGATTGAAAATGAAACACAACATTAGTCGTCAAAGAAAAGGAGAGGAATTCTGCAAATATAAATTCCCAACGGACACTTTGCTAAATCTAGATCAAGGTTGATTAATTTACCTGTATCATTATTTAACATTCAGATTGGCCTTGTTTTGAAAAATTATTGAAGAATCCTGATTATCATTAAAGTTACATTTAAATGACATTTACATGATTATCACGGTGAATGAAATTGAAGGTATGTTTTCATATCAACATACAATATGAGATGGAAAGTTAGAGAACCTGTGCTTCACCTTTCATACAATTTGTTATCTTTGGAAATCTTGCGATCGTGATGAATTTAAAATAAAGTTTGAAGTTTTAAACAATGCTTTGTGACACAACATGCATTTAGTCACATTTCACTGATTTCTGGACCCAAACGTAGGTAGGTGCAGTGATGGTATACTTTAATATCAACAGAATGCCTTACTTGTAAACTTACTGGCCGACTGAAACACACACACACACACACACACACACACACACACACACAAGAACGTGAACAGGAACAAAGCAGCAACATAAACAGTAACTCCAAGCAGCAAAGCAAAACTCTGGGGAACAAATGCAAGAACAAAACAAACAAAGAACAGACAAACTGACAGGAAGTCAGGAATGGGTCTGGGTATCTGAGGGGAAAAGCAGGAGGACTGGGCAGACAGCTTGGTGACCTGGCAGACAGGCAGGGCACTCAGGATCCCTCTGGAAGCAGAGCAGAAGGCCGGCGGTGAAGGTGGTTCCCATCAAGAGGCAGAGTAAAAGGGCAACGGTGAAGACAGGTCCCCTCAAGAGGCAGAGCAGAGCAGAAGGGCATCAGAGGAGGTGCTTTCATGAAGAAGACGACAACTGGACAGGCGGAGCCTCTAAGGAGAATGATCGTAGGCCAGAAATGTATGTGAGATCGCCCAAGGCAAGACCGCTCTGGAGGCCGGCAAAAAGGCTGAAGGTCTGAAGAGACAGCCAGCACCAGAAGATTCAACTGCTGGTAAAGAGCAGGGCAGGAAGTGGGCAGCTGGAAAAGACAGCTCGGGGTCACTTGGCAGCTGAGGCTCAGGCTTCAGTCAAGGTTCTGCAGTGCTAGGCAGCCAAATGCCTCCGATACCCACGCTTCCTTCTATGGGGTCCAGCCCCAAGATATCTCAGGGAGATAGCCAGATGAGTCCCCAGGAAAGGGGTCTGCTCAGGGTTCAGCTTCAGCTTGGGAGCAGAAACATGGAGGTGGCTAATTGGCTGAGGAGCAGAACCAGGAAGGAAGCTAGCCAACCTGGGTACAGACTGGAGACTTGTTGGAAGCTGGAAGCTCACAGCCCAGGGTGCAGGCTGAAGATCAACATGTTGGTGGTTAGCATGCTAGAGGCTCGCTGACTGGAGACCAACAGAGCCTGTAGCTGATGGAGTTGGCTGCAGGTGGATGATCCCCAGACTCACCATCTCTGCTGCACGCTATCAGGCTGTGAGCTAAGTGACTTGGATGCAGACTGTAAGCTATAAGGCTGAGAGCTAGCCAACTTGGAGGCAGACTTGGAAGCAGGGTGGAGGCTTGTAAACCTGGGGCTTGCCAGTACTGGCTGGAGGTTAGCTGACTCAGGAGCAGGGTGGTGGCCAGCTGACTGGAGGCTAGCATGCTGAAGGCCAGCTGGCTGGGAGGCTGTTTAGAAATCAGGTGTTAATAGTCCTTAATCCACTCAGGAAATGAACACTACACCAAAAAGCCGTAGCTTTTTGGAGACTTCCTTGTGCGCCATCCTCAGAGACGCCTTTTTGTGTTCTCTAGTCTCCCTTTTCCAAACCCCACAGAGCCACATGAGGGATCCCAACAAATGATGAAACTCATCCACAGAGGGGATGTCTGCTGGGTCCGTGTTTATGTCAGATCATACTGTCACAAGTCGATGATTTCTGGACCCAAATGCATAGACACACGAAACAGATGAACTGACAACGGGAATACAGAGACTTAAATATTCTAGTGAGGGTAACGTCAGGGCAGTGCAGATAATCACATGGGCAGGCAAAAACAAAGACAGGAAGAACTACAACTGATGCAAAAGGAAAGTCATTTCAAACTAAAACAGGAAATAACACAGTCCAGGCATGAAGTCACTCAAAGGGCAGACTGTGACACATTTATTATGAGGGACCAGCTGTCCGGTCCAGCGGAGTAATACCCAAACAGGCACTGTACTGTATAATTGACAGTCACCTCAGGTCTGCCAGCTCATGTGTAATGGTGAGCAGTTAGATGTGCCTGTCAGCCATCACAAATGTTGACAGATATCTTGCCTAATGAAACAGAAAAACATTTGCTTTCAACAGTCTGAGCAGAGAGATGTACTTAGACCATCATTTCACACAGACCTTTCCCTGTGGCAGCAGGTAATAAGAGACCTGCCACTCAAACGCTGATTCAAATGAAAGGCCAGTTGTTGAATGACACGCAGGTCTACCTACCTCAGCAGTTTTCGGCTCCGCTCGGCAGGTTCTCCCTCTCCATCCTCTTTTACTTCCTCCATCCATTTACAGTCCCAGTCCTCTCCCCCTCCCTGTCCCGTACCCCCCTGACCTTTCGTGTGGATGACTGTCAGCCGAGGCATGGGAGCAACTCAGACACAGACATGCTGGTTGAAACTGCAGCAGAGCAATTAGATGAACAACATGCACTCGCTCAATATGATTTCTTCTGTAACAGGACCAGCTTGTTAAACTGGTTCTACTGGAAGATTTGTTTTATGTAGGTAGAAGTTTTTTTCCTTTTCCCACATTCCATCTTTGCAGGAATGTGTTAAACATACTGACCACAATTGTTTGGAGGACAAGCCCTGCTCCACCCAGGTACACAGGAGGCAACTACACCACCTCCAACACTGACTTCTATCCCTCTGCCATCACTGTCAGACACAGACCCTGAGCTATTATTAACTCACAGCACGTGAACAACCTGCTGGCATCTGAACAGTGAATTAATTCATACGGAGGGAGATGTTTACAAATGGAAGTAAGCCCATGTTATGTATTAATATTCAAACACAATAAAGGCAAACACTGTCTCTGGTAGAATCTTAAACTATCACAATTTTGATGTTGAAGAACTCGTTGGTTTTCTGAGGCAATGCCGCCATCTAGCAGTGAGAACAAGAATAACACTCTGACAAATAAACACCCATTAAACCACAGGCCCAACATTAACTTGGACACCATGAAATTATTTGGACGCCATTTGCTCCAGAGTTCACCACATTCATAATAAAGTGAACAGAAAAACAACATGTGCAGATATAATAGACACACATGGACAAAATACTAATTCAAATAATAATGTGAATTGTTGCACATGATCTCATAATATTCCTTCCATATCTTACATTGTGAAGTCTATTTTCTTAGACTAGTTTAGATCATTTTCAATGGCCTGGTGGTGTAATTACAATAGCCTTATTTTAGTTTATTAAACTGTGTATTAAACTGGAACTTACTGTACAATTGCATCTAAAACATTTCTACTTTGAACAAGTACCTTAACACAGAATTTCCTTGCTCATGAACACATAATTAAGACAGGTGATTGCTCTCACAAGGTTTGAACTCCTCCTACTGAACTACATTTTCCTTTCTTACTTACCTGCAATGAGACGCTCGGTGGCACTGTCACTTGCTGGTGTTCAACTTAAAATCCTGTGCTGCCATTTTAGTAGCAACCACAAGTTAAGCATTTGCACTTAATAGATTGATAAAATAAAATAATCCCATGTCACCCTTTAACACTGTGTCATGTTGAGCTGTTCAGTTGCAAACCTCTGTGATGCTGTCTGTAAATATTTCACTGATATCACTTGAGGGACTAAAGAAGTATTATGAACATTCAAGTCAGTTGTCTTTAAAAGTGTACGTCACTGAGGAAAGTACGTTTTGTATTTTGCACCAGGCTTCTAAAAAAAACTACATGTTAGCTTTCTGCACAGGCACCAAGCGAAGACCATGGGATTGCTGGTTGGGTTAGGGTTTTTTTCAAACCTCCAACTTCTCACCTTGCTGCAGTGATGTGCATGTGTTTTGTACATGTGGACTCTGTGTCATCGCTGTTGGGTGTGGTTACAGGTGTAACAGAGCACATATCTAACCACACCTAGCAGCAGAGGGTTTTCAGCCTGATGCTGTTACTCCTCAAGCACAGTTTCCTGGTGCTATTCAATCTGTTATTTAGCTTTCGGATATGTTAACAGCAAAATAGTCCATAAGGTTAAAGGTCAATTATATCCAACAAACGCTGCATGAACTTTTAAAACCAAATGCAATTCTTAACATTCAGAGTCTTGGAAAAGTAGAACTGATTATGTTTACTTTTTAAAATTTTACTATAAAAACACGGGTGTTGTGGTTGTGACAATGACAAAGAAAAAGAGAAAGATTGCTTATTCTGATTTTTTGGAAAAATCAGGACAATCCAGCATGTGAATAAAAACTGATGTCTGAGACATTTCAAAAGAGGAAATTCATGGAGAAAAATCACATCAGATATCAGCAATGATCTGCAAACATACGACACAACAGAGGATGTGTGGGGTACTTACGCTGGACAAAAACATAATGACCTGTTTAGCAGGATTGCTTTATACAGTACTTTCCCATATTTTTCAGTTCAGTATTTCTTTCCAGAGTTTCATTTACAAATACTATTCTTCAAGAAATGTCCATTACTTTACAAATATGTAAAATGAGCACTCAAATCTGTATAAGGACTGAGCAACAAAACCTTTCCACCTTTTCCAGGCCTTAAAAAGATCTTTCTTTTTCGATACTGTATAACTCGCACAGGAACTCTGTATTTGATGTAATGGTCCTCACACTTTCAGCAGTTCCATTGAAAATGTTTCAGAAAGAATCCACACCTTCCATTGCTGTGGGTTCCAAACAAGTGTTCAGTCAAGTTTTAGTTTTTTATATATTCAGTTCAAACTCAAAACTTTGCATTTTGCTCTCTACTAACTTACAGACACATAAAACTGTGCTGGTCGTCTATTCATCCCCATTTTATCTCTCTATGTCCCCGACTCTGTTTCCATCCATGTATTTATTCATTCATGTGCGCACAAGCGTCTGAGGTCTACATGCAGGATCAAGTCTGTGAGAGTTCTTCATTGTACAGTTCAGGGTTTTGTGATGTGAACCTCACTAGTGCCGCTGCCATTGGTTGTCGTGGTGATGATGTACTGCGTGGTGGCTTGCTGATTGGTCGGTTGCTGCTCCAGATGTTCAGTGTGCGTCTGGGTTGTGCTCTGAGGAACGGTCTGTTTTGTCTCCAGGTCAGTCTGGCCCTCGGAGATCACGTAGTGTGTCTGCAGGAGAAGGGTGAGAACATCTTTATTTCCACATGCGCCACCATTTTCAATTAAAAAATTCTGCTAATTTTTCATTTATTATTATCTGGAATGTAACTCCCATCTGGCAACAAAACTGTGTACGCCGAGATACGATAAATTATTTCTAGACTTTCACAAATACTGAAAGAGCAAACAATGCTTTTCACATGTGCTTCATCAGGCTCACTCATCAACAAGAGGGCAGATTACAGTCGGGAAGGTGTAAAAAGCTACATACCCCCTAGTTTGAAGTAACAGTAAGTACACAGTTTAGATGAATAAGCATAACCTAAAATGCTTGAATCAATTTTTTTTTAAAAAGCTTTGGTGTGCAGCAAACCCTTCTCCTATTCTCGGATTCATCAACCAAAACATTTGTTAGGTTTCTCAAGAGCGGTTTTGGCAGTGTTTGACTCCAACTAACTCCTGGCTAATCCAAAATTGGGCAAGGGGGAGGGGCGTGTGTGGAGCAGGGACTTTGATGCATGTCGGTTTGTGGCAAGCATACGCTCGCCCATCTGTCACTCAAAGCGGCACACCCTCAATTATGCATAACTTAATAAAATGTAAACAGGTGAGTTACATAAAAACTCGCCCCCTGTACAGTGGTTATGAAGGAGGAAATTAGCTATAGAGAAAAAAACATTTTAACATGGGAGTCTATGGGGATTGACTCACTTTTGGAGCCAGACTCTAGTGGCCATTAGAGGAACTGCAGTTTTTGATACTTTTTTTTTTTTTTACTGCATATTCATGTGATCCAGATATGTGTATATATGTGTTGACACTTTCAGCTGCTTTGTGAGCCTTACCAATAAGAATATGAGAGAGTGAGAAAAATTAAACTGCTTCAGCTGTGCTCAACACTGATTTCCTTGACCAGAAATACAAATACAGTGTTCGTTTTCCTCTAGCAGGTATCAGACAGCATTTACTCACCGTTTTCACCTGGTTGCTGTTGACTCCAGATACAGGTGTGCTGGCCTCAGCTATCACATACTGAGCGTGAGGTAGAGCCATCATCTGGATCTCAGATGCTGGAGCAATAAGAATTTAACATGTTAACTTAACATGCAATCAAACAGTAAAGAGCCATCAAGTATGGCATGTGGGGCACTCACGGTAACCTCGGTAGTTCCAGTTCCCAGGTATATACGCATGCTGCACAGTCCCCTGTTGCTGCTGGGTGCTGCTTGTTTGCAGGGTGTGGCTCTGAGCCAGAGTTACAGGGGTCAACTGGGCGGGGCTCAGCTCCTGACTAGCCTGCTGGGAGGTGGGGCTTAGAGGCTGACCAGTTACCTGAAAGAGGGAGAAGAGATGGTTATTATTCTTCTGTTATCAAGCTTAACATTTTGGGTGATTTCCATAACAGACTGTTGGTTGTGATTTTCAGATTCTTGTAAAGAATGAACCTAACCCCAGAGTCAGAAATGAGGATTCACCTGGGTGGCACCTTGTCCAGAGCCTGAAGGCTCGCTGACCTGGATGTGTTGTACCTGGATGGAGTGCTGACTGTAGCCATGCGGGTCATGCAGCTGGCTCACATCTACTGTGGGGTGCTGTGAATGTGGGGAGGAAGCCTGTGAAACAGAGAAAATAAATACTTGTTACTGCTTCTTAAATTCACCTCAATCCACCACGGGATACATTTTAATAAATGTTTTCTGCAATTTTCAAACGATAGCAGGAAATGAAAGGTGGTTTAGCTGCAGAAATGTCTGCAGACCAACCTACAAACCAAAGCAGTCATTTGCCAGAGTCTTCATGGTGGCTGCTGGTTACTGCCAGCCCTCCCTTAAAACTTTAAGCCTTTTAATTTGAGTGTAAAAGAAAGAACAAACCTCACCAACTCTTATAAGTGATCAGTTGTTTTGGCCACATGAGAGGTAGAAACAACAACAGAAGTTAGAGTTGCCAGTCCGAGACCAACATGGAAAATTTGATTAGTGAATCAGAAAAAACAGCTCTCCTTTCTGTCGACCGCTATGGTTCATATATCCATACAATGATTAGACTCGTGTTTATATCAGCACAGCTGTCAAGGTGTATAACTGTGATTGTGAGGTGGGAGGTTGTTTAGATACTCAGTCAGCTTTCTGTGGATGCATAAAGCTAAAAAAAACAAACAAAAAAAAAAACAAGTCTAGGTCCTGGATGAGATTCTGGATCTTACCGGAGCCACCTGCACCACCTGCAGCTGAATGTGCTGCGGCTGGGACAGGCTGCCTCCTGCCTGAGAGACAGGGATGTAC